TTTATAATTTTTTTTAATTCGGGAACAATAACCGTCGGGAAAAAGGTGTTGGGGAAAATAGGTTTCGGGTTTTCGGACTTTCGGGCAAAATACTATTCGGGAAAAAATTCATTCGGGTAATTCGATTCGGGAAAAACGGCGGGTACCATTAGATACACACATTTTTATTATTGCTTTATATTCTGACAACAAATTTATATTATTATTACATATTACAGTGGTGTTAGTAATATATTATAGATAYTAAGTGCATTAATTACTAGTATATCATTTTTGTTAGAATTAAATTAATTTTATTATAAAATTATTTATTTGTACAGTATTGACTATTGTGGCATCTCGAGTTACACAATRCATTTTTAGATCTGAACTTACATTATTCTGTTAGTCATACATTTTTTCATACAATCACAACTTATTAATTCTTGTTCACCACTCACCAGTCAAAGTTAGTTGCGATACTGCTTGTCGAATACCAATTTCATTATCTGRTATAATTGCCAATTCTAAGATGTTTGTATCTAATATACCAATCATTAATGTACTACCTAATATCCTTCAATAATTAATAGCATAATTCATAATTGGTAAAAAAAAGTTAGATTTATGCTAACACTTATTGTTTATCTTAAGATTTACCAAATCTAGTTTATAAATGTCCGAACTACAAAAATCATCCAAGGTTTGACAACATAATTTGTACCTATTTCCAAGTTTTTACCGAAACAAATTGGTAAATGTCTGAATGTTGGACATTTAAAGACAGAAGTCGGTGAAACTAGGATTTACCGGTATATCCTAGGTTTAACCGGTATTCGTACTTTTACCATAACATATATATTTATAGTTCTAAATTTTTTTTRAATTTWTTTTTGAACAAAAAAACTCACCACTTTGCAATGGAACATTATGAGCACAAACAAAAACAATCAACAAAGTATTTATAAAAAAATATTTCAAAACATTAAACATTTCTGAAAATGTATTTTTCAAAATCACGGGTGATATTAATAATAAGTCAACTATCGAATGTAACTATAACAAAAACCACTAACGTAGAACGTCTATTGAATGATGGTTTTATATTTGAATTAACACATTATACTTAAGATCAATTAAACAACATAATATTCTTTAAAAGCTATTTTATTCAATTCCAATAATTTGTGTATTATAGATAACACTGTTTGATCAAATACAACTATTGTATTCTATATCAAAAAAATTCCTAGATATTTTACTTATGCATTTAATTTTAATTGACTTTATTTWWAAAAAAAATTCTATCGTTATACGCGACTATGAACTAAAACAGATAAATTATATATTATATCCAATACCTAATGAAGATATCGAAACAATGACGCATACCTATTATGAAAAATTCAATTGAAGAATAATAATTTTACAAAGTTAACAAGTATTTCGTATTTCTGATAACCATGTAAGTAATTAGTACCTATACAATTATTTACCACTTTGGTTAATTCATTTTTTAAATAAAAATACTTGAATTAATATCATTCGGATTTCTACAAAATATCTTGTCATATGGTTTTATATTTAATAATATTAATATGAAATTGAAGATTGATGGGTGCTGACAATACAATTTAAAGCATATTAATCCCCCCCCCCAGCATATTATATTGGATTATAAATATGACCCCCCACACCCATCCCAAAATGTTGAGACAATTAAAAAAAAATTATGGAAATCGCTAAAATATTTTAAATAGTATTTTTTAA